GACGTGTGCTCTTCCGATCTCCCCAAAACCCCAAAACCCCTTACTTGTTATTATTTAAAATATGATAATAGATTAAATTAAAAATGAAAAGCTCATAAAGAAGCAACTAGTATTAGCCTAATTTGGGTTCTAAAGAGGAAGATGCTTAGCAGTCACATCACCAAGACTTTATCCCAATTCATTAGCATTTAACAAAACTATATAATGATTTTACTAGCACTTATGGTAAGTTTAACTGCTAGCATTGATAAAAAGGAGTTAAATGAATTTATTAATTTCCATTTAGAGGGCAGAGATAAAGTCACTAAGACTTTCCAATATTTGGCTAAATTCTTGTCTTGGTATTATTAAAATATTGATCCAGAGAAGGGCATAAAATATCTCTAGATATCTGGTAAATAAAATAATAGATTTACTATGATTTCTTATAGAGAGATTTAGAGATGCTCGATCTCTTTTCAGATTAACTAAATCAATTTTTGAGGTGAAAAGAATATAAATAGTCCTAACAACAGGTAACGAGGATGCATTTTCTCTGGTAACTTTGATCTCTAGTCGAGCATTCTACTTTTTATATTGGCTTTTCGATAACATTTACATCATTTTGAAGTATGCTGATATTCATTCTGAAAGGTTTTCAAAAGAGAGATTCAAAGCACTGTCAAGATCTTGCTGGTTATTGGGTATTGCAATGTTCATGATTTACTGCACTAAAATATTGAGAAAGACATACACAGATGAATCAGACTTAAAAGTAGCAGCTTTGAATAGACTAACAGTAAGACAAATGAAAGAGTGCTTGTAAACCATTTGCAATATCAGGAGAGATTACTAACTTTACTTTGCAATGGCTCTCAGTGATCTGATTATTTGTCTTAACGAAAATAATCTACCCTTCTTAATTTTAGGAAAGAGAATAAACTAGGGAGTTGAAGGAATTTTTGGCATGCTCAGTTCGATGATCTATCTATATAGAATAGTGTGATAGTAATATATAAATGTATAGACTTAATTAGCATCATAAGTTTGATAATTATGTCATCAAATATTGTAATGATTTAATGAAATTAAAGCACTAATAGATTAATTCTTAATTAATTAATAGCTTTGCATCTTAATCATAAGGTTTCAAATAAAAATCAGTTTATCTCGTAAGACTTTTCAAATTTCAGCTATTTTACTTCTAAACTGATTACTAAGCTGTTCTAGTCTCTGTAACTTATCAGCTTATCTCTAATTTTCTCTTATGAGTCTTTGCATCTCTTTTAATTATTCCTTCATTGATTTGTTTTCAATCATTATAGAATTTTCTCTCAACTTTCTAAATGCTATGTCTTTACTTATCTATATTTTACTATTCTGCAACAATTTATCTTCTACTGAGATTCTACCAAATACTATCTTTAAAATTACGATTTTTAATTTCGTCTTTTTGTCTTCGCATGCTGATAATTGCTTAAAAACTTGGAGTTTTTATTAATCTCTTTTTGTTTGTATATATTTGAAAAGAATTCTTAATCCTAGTTTTACTTATTTCTTTTAGTTTGAATAAGAATTAATATTGGATAATGTAAGCCTTTTATGATAATTAGTTGCTATGTTAAATAACCTTTTTATTTATTTTTCATTTTTATGAATAGTCTAAAGTTTTTTCTATTTTTCATTATTTCTTTTTTCTTCTCTATTCAGAGCCTATGCTAATAGATCATTATATTTGGGTACTTTTTTCTTGCTTTCAAATGTAACCTTCGTTGCAATTTATCTACTTTTTGAATCTGATCTTTGTGAATTCAACTATTCTTGTAACTACTGTGACTATGAGAATGATTTCTTTTATTCAGACCTTACTGAAGATTTTAAATTTTTTGATAATATATCCTTTCTTTCTCTGCTCCTTGTATCATCCCTTTCTTCTCTTTTCTGACTCTTTTTAGATTATGTGCTTTTTTCTGTTATAGTCTAAATAGTGGTGTTTTTAGAGGCTTTTTAGTTGCTTAGTGTAGTATTATTATTAGCTGATAATTTTTCAACAGTTGCACCATATGCATTTTTAGCTTCAATGCTATCCTATAGATTAAATTTTTTTGCACCTTGATTTCTAGTAGACGACATTCTTCTATTATCAGCGAATGTAAAATTTGTTTCTTGCTGCTATTTTTAAAACAAATTGAGAGCATCTTTTTTTTATTTGTGATTTTTTGCCTTATGACCATTCTCAACAAGCTTTTAAATCTTCGTCTAAGTTGGTGATACAATAACATGCATTGAATTTTCCTCAGATAATGGCTATGACTTGATTGTGGTGTCTTTGACTATTTGATTTTCAATTTCTAGAAATTCCTACAGCTCATTGTTGTTTAATTCCTGAGAAGTTATTAATTGCTTGTTTTCAGTTTCTGTCTACTCAGTTGGCTTTATTTATGGGTAGGATTAGCTATGCTTCATCCCACTACCTTAGCCACTGCTACCAGTTTCTTCAACTAATATATATTCATCCTTTTACTTCGGACTTAGATAATTGTTTATACCGCTCATTTCATTTTTGGGTTTGCTATTTTCTCTAGCAGTTTTTGGTTTTTAATGTTCAATTTACTACCTAAGTGATTAGATAATTTAATCTTTTTTAGATTACTATGACTAGCTATTTTACTAAGAAAGATTCCCACTGCTATTATTATGACTTAACTTTTACTAAAATTTTAACGTCTTAAGAGCAAGCTCTAAGTTCTCATCAATTTAAGATTTTTATGACCTGCTATTGTCAGATACAAAAGAACCTCTGTTATTATCCTAATGTAATCCATTTCTTGATGTTCTACTCTTGTTAAGCATATTATCGAGAGAGCTCTAATCTCCCTAATTATAATAAGTCCTTATTGGTGATATGTTTGCACTTTGCTACTGGATCATTGCTTTCTGATTAACTTATGGATTAATGAAGAAATTGAGCGACTTCTCTGATTTGTTATCAGAGGCACCATTATTCTCATTCTGTGATTAAATTTTAGATATTGACTTGCTAACTGCGCTTATATTTTATTTAGATTTTTCAAAGGTAAAATTCTAAATTTGATAATGCATTTTGCAGGGATTTTTAATGTGTAATAGGAAAATACGAACTCTTTCCGATTTTTACTTTGCTAGATGAAGAGTCTATGTTGCTAGTTCCTAAAATAAGCATTAATAATAATTAGCTTAACGAACTTACATAAAGAATTTACTCAAATTATTCATAAGTATAAACAGCATTGTTATTAAATTACTACTACTTTTCATTTAAAAAGGTAATTCCAGCCACTAATTTTTTGAGATCTCCCACATTCGTCAAATCCTATTTTAGAAGATTTTATTGCAAATTTCTCAATAATTGTATGAAATTTATTTTGACAAAGAAACATAACTTACTGGAAAGATATTCACCTATTTGCAGAATCTTTGTAAATCAGTGAAATTTATTCGGGAGTTGTTTGAAGTACTCAGTAATTGAAATATTTTTTGGAATTTACCTCTGTTAATCTCGATAAGTGAGTAATTTTCATCATAATTATCATCAATCCTAAGAAAATCTCCGTTTCTTTGCGACAGAGTGAGATATTAGGACAGCTTTTCATTTTTCTAAGAGTTGCTAATATTTATGCTATTTGAGGCGATTGAACGATTATGTGAATTCTCAAAATGGTACTAATCAGGTTAGTTATTATTCAAAGAAGTAGTATGATTAGAATTGTTATTATTGTGGTAGTTAATTGGCGACATTTAATTCATTTTGGTTTGAAATTTTTAAAATATTAGTTTACCATAATTCTATACAAATAACTACCTTTGGGGTTTTGGGGTTTTGGGGTTTTGGGG